CAGCCCCTCCCCCCCGGGTGTGGGTCCCGGTGGAGCCGTGCTCTGCCTTTCCCTGCCCGCAGCCCTGCCCGCCCGGCCAAGGCCTCGGCGCGAAATTTGGTCTTCGTGCTCGGCGCTGTGCGGGCCGGCCCAGCACGCCGCCGCCCGCACTTGCTGCAGCCTGACTATTCAGTAGAGATGCCCCCTCCTCCTCCTCCTCCTCCTCCTCCCCTGCCTCTGGCTGCCGAGGGGAAGGTCTTAAAACGCATTCATTCCGTACGTGCATGCAGTTAACCCCTTACTGCCCCTCCAGCTGCCCCCGCCCGCCGCCCCGCGTGTTCCATTGCCGCCTAGCGCGGCCGGCTCCGCCACCCTCCTGTTGTAAAACAGATTGATTTCCACGGTGGGGACGGCTCCAGCACGGGGCTAGTGTCGTCCGGACGCCCTGCCCGCCCCGAGCAGCCTGCGTGGCCGTCTCCTCCGCTCCCCGGGCTCCGGCTTGCTGCTTTTTTTTTTTTCCCCCTCCCAGGAGTAGCAGCGAAATGTCCCGTCCTGCCTATTTGGAAATGGGAACAAATTGCTCCCCCGCCTTACCTCGCCCATCGCATCCCATATATAGTCATATCTACGGTCAAATGGCAGGCAGCAGCGAATGGGAGCGCTGAGCCTCCGAAAAAAGCCGGGGGGGAGTGAGAGAGGGAAAGGGGTAGGGACGAGCGGAGGAGGGAGTTAAAAAAAAAAGCCCTTTCCAAAAAAGTATTGGATGTCTTGAGGAATGCAGTCAGCCCCCTGGGAAAGTACATATCTGTGAGGCGCTCCCTGCCCGCCGCTTGCACTCCGCCGGCGCCCCGTCCCGCACGGATCAGCCCCGCCGCCCGGCAGCTCCGCGCCGCTCCGCGCCGCTCCCTCGGGGGCCGCGGCAGCTTTTCAAGTTTTGCTTTCGGGTGCAGTTCGCGCGGGGACGCGCCCTAGCCCACCGCCGCCATGGATGCCATCAAGAAGAAGATGCAGATGCTGAAGCTGGACAAGGAGAACGCCTTGGACAGAGCCGAGCAAGCCGAAGCGGACAAGAAGGCAGCGGAGGAGAGAAGCAAGCAGGTCTGCACCGAGGGCCCGGGCGCGGCCAGCACCGGGGCTCAAGTCTTTCCAGACGACTCCTTTCTCTTTCTCTCTTTACTTTTTTTTTTCCCCAACGTACCTTACTGTATTCCCCCACCAGGTTCCTGGGGGCCCGGCAGGAGGTCGTTCCCCCTGCCACTAGCACCGCAGCTGGGGAGCGGGGCCCTGGGACAGCCACATGGCCTCTGTGCCTTTGTCATAGGGGTATGGCTACGAGAGGGTGCCTTGAGCACCTGGTTAGCAATGGACAGACGTGCTGCGATTTGGCAAAGGACACTTAAAGCTGTGTTCACCCCCTCCAGCACCACCCAGCAGACCTGTCCAATTCCAGATGCTTCCCCCGCTGCTAGATGTGTGTCCCATTTTCCTGGCCTTCTCCAACCTCCCTCCTTTCCACCTGGGGCTTTATTCATTTGGGAGAGGGGGGCACATTGGTAGCACATTTCTGGGAGATCCTGAAGGAGGAGGGAGGAAGGGAGAGTGATTTAAAAATTAATTTCCCACTTTTCTAAGCCCAGGGAGAAACATATTTGTGCGTTGTATTTCCTCTTGTGCACCTAGTTAGAGGATGACATTGTGCAATTGGAAAAGCAATTGCATGTGACGGAGGATGCAAGGGACCAAGTGCTGGAAGAGCTACACAAGTCTGAGGATAGCCTCCTCTCCGCAGAGGAGAATGCTGCCAAGGTATCGTGCCCTTGCCGCAAGCAAAGAGAATCTAACTGTCTCTCCTTCTCTCTCTCTCTGTCCGTCTGTCCTTTTCTGTCTCTTCTGCACTCGCACTTCTCCCTTTGCACGATCACGTTGCCTGCTGCACCTTTTCCTGCCCACCCTCCCCTCTCCACCACTTTCCAACCCGTATCACAGCTGGAGGACGAGCTGGTGGCTCTACAAAAGAAGCTGAAGGGCACTGAGGATGAGCTGGACAAATACTCCGAGTCCCTTAAAGATGCACAGGAAAAGTTGGAACTGGCTGACAAAAAGGCCACAGATGTAAGTTACCCCCATCCCTTTCACCACCACCCCAGTACAGAAACCACGCACTCCCTGTGCACAGGACAGCCAGGACTCCTACCAAGCAGCGCTCCAAAGCTTTGCTGAGGGCAGGACCCAGGCACCTCCTGGGCAGGGAGGTGGGAAACAGCACTGCCTCCTTGCATGAGGTTTGCACACTATCGGGCATTTGATTGGGTTTCTGCTCACTCGACACATGCTTTTCGTGTGTATTTGCCGCTCTAGACGTGGAAGTAAAGAAAGGGTGGATTGTCTGTTCAGGTGATGGGGCAAACGGCTCAGGCTGGAACAACACTATCTCGACAGTGAAGCAGAATCAGAGAGTTAATAGCAAGTAGATCCAGGAGAGCGAGATCCAGAAAAGCAAGGGCTGCTAGTTCTGTCTTCAAGAGAGCTGTTCCTAGGCACGCATGTGTTAGAACTGCTGCCGGATACTGGTTTGGCTCACTCACTGGTCCCTCAGACAAAAGATCCTCTCCTAGGTTTTGTTTTCCTGGAAATCACTGGAACTGTTTCACTTGTCAAAGAAAAGTTCAGTCTCGTGTGAGAGAAAGCTGTCCGGAAGATGATACTTGCTAGGTTTGCAGTTCCGAGGACAGGGATCCTGGGAGCAAGCTGGGAGATATATATAGCTCAGCACTTTATATGGTAATAATGCAAGAGCTTGTGCCTCTCCCAGGCCCTCATCCCACCCACCTGTCTGCCCCTGACATGCATTTAATGTATTGCGTGCATGGAACCGTGTGAGTTTACTGTCTCTGCAGTTAAGGTCCAGATCTCTATGGCTGCTGCTGTACAGTTCTCTCTGAGTAAATCTCAGGTCTGAGTTACAGGATTAGGTGAAACCACGGTATTTCCAAAGCGATGACTGTCCTTTTCCTTTAACTCAGCTTTAAAAATTAACCTCAAAGCCATAATAAAATGAGGAGTTGTCACAGATGAAGCAAGCCAAGTATTTCAGGGGGAGGAAGGATACTTTTAGAAGGAGAAGTGTTACAAAAACCAACTTTGCATGAAAGACAACATGCTTTTATCTTATTTTAATTCTAAAATGAACAAAGGATAAAAAAGGTTTAACTTCAGTATGGCAATTAAGTTGTATAGCTTTGAAAGAGAACTGAAGAAGTTAACAAACATAAGCGTGCATAGGAACGGGAGAGTGGGGTTCTGCGTATAATGTGGATCAGATGTCTGTCGTCTTCTGTGCATGGCTGCATAGATGAGAGGCAGCTTCCTAGCAGGACGTTTATTTAACTTGTTCAAAGGAACCGCATATAGATCCAGGGGAGATATTCCTTATAAGGAAAAGTATGCAGACTGGAAATAGCTCGCCTAGGATGAAGGCAGGAGAAATGCTACTAGATTCCCTTTTTGAAATGAAAGATCTTCCTAACCAATCCCAATGCCATTTTCCTTTGCTGGAAAACAGCATTTCGAAGCTAGTCGAGGGCAATTTTATTTGCAGTCATCCCTCAGGCAGAGGGCAGGCAAGCGTCTGGCTTGTTTTCATCAAGGTAAATGCTGTATTTAATGGTATGCGTGGAATATGTGACATTTTAAGGATGTCTTTCTTTTTTGGCAATGTGGAGTATCTTTGGGGCATTGCAGTTGACCCAGTATTTGCCCTACTAGTTTGGATAGTTCCAAGCCTTAGGAGAAAGACAAGGGCAGGGGAGGGAGTGCCGGCTCCCTGGGGTGGACTCACCTTTACACAGGGGGATGAGGAAACCTTACCTTGCTGGTATTACTCACCTCGCAAAAGCCGGGCGCATCCCCTGAGCCCCGGCGCCACCTCACCTGGGAGGGGGCAGCCGCACCTCCCTCTTCCCTCCCCGTGTCTCAGGCGCTAGGCCAGGGGCAGCA